ATAAAATCTGCTTGAGTTTTTTTGTCTCTGCTTCAAGCTGCACCGGCAGTTTGGAAAACAGCCTGGTGGGAGTCTTTAGAATGGGACTTTTGGCCTCATCTGTGAAGTGGTCTTTTCTCTGACTCAGAAGGATTTTTTTTCTGTTTAGTAATACACATTATGAAATAAGCATCTGTCTTGCAAGTAGTTTCTTTTCTGGTGGAGCTAGTTGTTATAAAAACCTTATGCCTGTCTTAAACTCATGGACAAACTAATATTCTTTGTTTTATTAGAGTGATAGTAACAAAGAAGCTCAAAAATGGGAGGAATGGAGAAAGAATGAAATATTGTTTTGGTAGTACTTTTTGCTATTCTTGCTCTTGTGCCTCCTGGTGTTGTAAGCTGTGCCAGCTGAGCAGGTGGTTAGGCGGTTTGTATGTGGTGGAGCACATACCTGCAGGAGTGTGAGGGTGTGAGTAAGAAAGATTTTAAGAGAAAAAAGGTTTTCAGCTTTTACAGAGAGCCCATTTGGGCATGACTGACTTGGTGAATCTGGCATTCAGGGTGTCCTTGCACTGTGCTGGGAGGGGCAGTAGGTGCTCCCCAAAAATATGCCTGTATCCCAGCTATGCAGACCTGAGTGTTGTTGCTGTAGGTAAGTCACACTTCTGGTAAGGGAGAGAAAACTACAGTGATTTTATTTTAATTTTAAACTGAGGAGCAATTTAATTACTTTCCCTGATGTTTATTTTAGATGGCTTGGTGTTTGATGGCTTTGTTGAGCATTTTATCCTGGAAAAATAACAATATAGGCAAGTCTTTGTTTGGCAGCAGAGGAGAGGAGGGGGGTGAGAGAGAAACTACTATGCAGACACCAAGGCCAGTGAAGGAGGAGGGAGGGAAAATGTGGTGAAATAGTCTGCTGTCATAAACAGAAAGCAGGAGGTGAGAGAGCTTCATAACAAGAAGCTTTCACGTATTTGAGAAATTTACGTCGTGCTGTTGGTGATTTAAAACTGACTTCATGCTCTTCAGTGGCATATGAGGTAAGGAAAGTTTCAGGAGGTGTTTCTTCTCCAACTGCCACTGAATCAATTGGCAGCAATTAGGTGTGCAGTGTGTGGGCAGCTGTGTCCCTCCAGCTCCATGATGCTTGAGGGACAGTATTTCTGAAGAACCGTGTTTTGAGAGCCCTGGAAGAACATGAGTTCCTAGGACAAGTTGGGCAGCCTTGTAGAGAGGAGTAGGAACCATGGAAATTGGGAGCTGTGGGGCAAGAGAGCTGGTGGGAATTTGAGGCATCCTGCTGGGTTCGGGACAGCCATATTGCGAGGGCCTAGGAAGTCACTGGCAAGACTTGGATACATCATCATTAGTATGAGAACAGGTGGTGTGGTTTAAGCCCACCCAGCTGGCAACAGAGCACCGTACAGCAGCTTGCCTCATGCCAATATGGTAGGGTGGGGAGGAGGAAACACCGCCAAAGGCTCGAGCGTCAAGGCAAGGACAGGGAGGGCTCACTCACTAATTGTGGTCATGGGCAAAACCCAGACTTGGCCACTTGGGAGGATTGTAGGAACAGTGTCAAAGTATGCAGGGATGCAATGAGGAAGGCTAAGGCCCACTTGGAATTAAAGCTGGCAAGGGATGTCAAGGATAACAAGAAGGGTTTCTTCAAGTATATTAGCACCACAGGAAGGCTAGGGAAAATGTGGACCTGCTGCTGAATGAGGTGGGTACCCTGGTGACAGAGGATACAGAGATGGCAGAGTTGCTGAATGCTGCCTTTGCCTCAGTCTTTACTGCTAAGGCCAGCTCTCAGGAATCCCAGACCCTGGAGGTAAGAGAGGAAGTCTGGAGAGAGGAAGACTTCCCCTTGGTAGAGGAGGATCAGATCCTTTAGGCAAACCGGAAATCCACAAATCTATGGGCCCAATTGAGATGCACTTGTGAGTGCTGAGGGAGCTTGCAGATGTTTTTACTAAGCCGGTCCCCATAATCTTTGAAAGGTCGTGGTGAACAGGAGAGGTGCCCGAGGACTGGAGGAAAGCTAACGTCACTCCATCTTCAAAAAGGGCAAGAAGGAGGACCCAGGAAACTACAGGCCAGTCAGCCCTTACTTCCATGCCTGGAAAGGTGATGGAACAGCTCATAATGGAAGTCAATTGTAAGCGTGTAGAGGAAAAGAAGGTCATTGGGAGTGGTCAACATGGATTCACCAAGGGGAAATCATGCAATCTGATAGCCTCCTATGATGGCATGACTGGCTGGGTAGATGAGGGGAGAGCAGTGGATGTTGTCTACCTTGGCTTCAGCAAAGCTTTTGACAGTCTCCCACAACAGCCTCATAGGTAAGCTCAGGAAGTGTGGGTTAGATGAGTGGACAGTGAGGTGGATTGAGAACTGGCTGAAGGACAGAGCTCAGAGGGTTGTGATCAGCAGTGCAGAATCCAGTTGGAGGCCTGTAACTAGCGGTGTTCCCTGAGGATCAGTACTTGGTCAAGTCTTCTTCAACATACTCGTTGATGACCTGGATGAAGGGACAGAGTGTACCCTCAGCAAGTTTGCTGATGATACAAAACTGGGAGGAGTGGCTGACACTCCAGAAGGCTGTGCTGCCATTCAGCGAGACCTGAACAAGCTGGAGAGTTGGGTGGAGGAGGAACCTAATGAAGTTCAGCAAGGGCAAGTGTAGGGTCCTGCACCTAGGGAGGAATAACCCCATGCACCAGTACAGGTTGAGGGTTGACCTGCTGGAGAGCAGTTCTTTGGAGAAGGACCTGGGAGTCCTGGTGGACAGCAAGTTAACCTTGAGCCAGTGATGTGCCCTTGTGGTCAAGAAGGGCAATGGCATCCTGGGGTGCATTAAGAACAGTGTGGCCAGCAGGTCGAGGGAGGTTATTCTCCCCCTCTACTCTGCCCTGGTGAGGCCACATCTGGGGTGCTGTATCTAGTTCTGGGCTCCCCAGTTCAAGAGAGATGGGTAACTACTGCAGAGAGTCCAGCAGAGGGCTATGAAGATGATGAGGGGATGGGAGCATCTCTTTTATGAGGAAAGGCTGAGAGACCTGGGCCTGTTTAGCCTGGAGAAGAGAAAACTGAGATAAGATCTTACCAATGCTTATAAATGTCTCAAGGGCAGGTGTCAGGAGGATGAGGCCAGAGTCTTTTCAGTGGTGCCCAGCGACGAGGCAATGGGCACAAACTGGAACACAAGAGGTTCCACCTGAACTTTGTTGCATTGAGGGTGACAGAGCACTGGAACAGGCTGCCCAGGGAGGCTGCAGTCTCCTTCTCTGGAGATTATTCAAAACCCACCTGGACACAATCCTGTGCAACCTGCTTTAGGTGATCCTGCTCTGGCAGGGGGGTTGGACTAGATGATCTCCAGAGGTCCTTTCCAACTCCTACCATTCTGTGATTCCTTGTGATTCTGTGACTCGGGGAAACAACATCTACTTAATTTAAACACCACCACCAATTTAACAATCAAATCAGAGTAGGATAATGAGAAAAACAACCATGTCTTACAAACATCTTCCCCCCACCCCTTCCTTCTTCCTGGGCTGCTGATGTTACTCATGATTTCTCTGCCTCCTACCCTGTCGTGGCGCAGGGGGTCAGGGAATGGAGGTTGTGGTCAGTTTGTCCCATATTGTTTCTGCCGCTCCTTGCTCCTCAGGGAGAGGACTCCTTGCAGTGTTCCCCCCTCCAACATGGTGTCCCTGCCATGGGAGACAGTCCTCCATGAACTTCTCTAATGTGAGTCATTCCTATGGGGCTGCAGCTCTTCACAAACTGCTCCAGCGTGGGCCCCTCCCATGGGCTGCAGTTCTCCCAGTGACAGACTGCTCCATCACAGGCTTCCCTCAGAGCCATGGCCTTCATCAGGCACAGCCACCTGCTCCAGCATGGGGTCCTCCATAGGCTGCAGATGGGCATCTGCTCCACTGTTCTTCTCCATGGGCTGCAGGTGATCAGCCTGCCATCTCGCCACGGGCTGCAGGGGAATATCTGCCCTGGCACACCTCCCTCCCTCCTTCTTCACTGGCCTTGGTGTCTGCATAGTAGTTTCTCTCTCATCTCCCTCCTCTCTTCTGCTGCCAAAGACTTGCCCAGCAGGTTTTTCCCCTCTTAAATATATTATCACAGAGGCGCTGATTGGCTCAGCCTTGGCCAGAGGCAGATCCAAATTGGAGTCAGGGATGCTTCTAGAAGCTTCTTACAGGAGCCACCTCTCTAGCCCCCTCCCCTGCTACTAAAACCCCACCACACACAAACCCAACACACAGGACAAGACAGAGAATGTGAGGGCTCTCTCCTCCTCTTGTTAATTTTGAAATATAGGCTAGAATAAAAAGGGTTCAGTGGCATAAAGAGGAGCAGGGCAAAGTGGCTCTGTTTGCTGTTGTGTGTGAGAATCTCACCCAAGGCGAACACTGAGTCCCTGTGCACTGTCAGGACCTTTCTTCCAAACGGTTGTTCTGCCAAGCTACTGCACAAATGGTGTGTGTCACTTCCCAGGGAACAGGTCTGCCTGCTGACAGGCAAGTGATGCTGCCCACCTAGCACCTGCTGATCCTGCCATTTCATCTCAAACCTGTTAAATACCATGAATCCATACTGAGAATTGACTTTTTCTTTTTAAATTGCAGGATGCAAAGAGAAGGTGCCATCATGTGAATGCAGAACAGCTAAATGAGAAACAGGGTACCTGGGAAGGCTGAGCTGAAACTGCTTGTGCACAAGATGACAGACTGATTTGCTGTTGGAGACGAGATTCGGGAAACCTCACTCCTCCAAAAGACTTTCCTGAGTGAGAGGAGAGGAACAGGAGAAAGCACACGAAAGAGCGATGGGAATTGAGGGCCATGGTTACTTGAGATAAATGGCAGATCCCTGGGAGTCTAGCCTTGTAGCTGTTTGCTTTAGCTTTGTCTCGCTCCACAGCTACTCGCTCCACAGCTACTCTTTCTTTTTTGCGAGCTGCTGCTGGGTGCTGCCACGGCAGCACTGGAGATTTCAAGAGCAACGTGGGTGCAGAGTGTGAGAGGGGGGTGGGCAGCCCGCCTCACCATGATTCAGTTGTGGAAAGTAGTGCGGCACGTGCGACAGCTGGAGCTCCACAGGTTGATCCTGCTGCTCATTGCCTTCAGCCTGATCTCCATGTGCATCCTAGCTTACTACGTCACCAACAGTCCCAAAATCAAGGAGCCACCACCCATGCCCTTCAGTGACTGCAGCAACCAGCACCGCATCTTGATCCCACCACAAGCCAGCTGGAGGCTCACGAAATCTGTGGACACCTCACGCACAGATCCTGTGGTGCTAGTCTTCGTGGAAAGCATTTATTCCCAGCTGGGGCAGGAAATAGTGGCCATCCTGGAATCTAGCCGGTTTAAATACAGGACAGAGATCGCCCCTGGCAAAGGGGATATGCCCACCCTGACAGACAAAGATAGAGGACGCTACGCTCTTATTATCTATGAGAACATCCTTAAATATGTGAACCTAGATGCTTGGAACCGAGAGCTGCTGGACAAATACTGTGTTGAGTATGGAGTGGGGATTATAGGCTTTTTCAAAGCCAATGAGAACAGCCTTCTCAGTGCACAGCTCAAGGGTTTCCCCCTTTTCCTACATTCCAACTTGGGGCTGCGGGACTATCACATCAACCCTAGTGCTCCCCTGCTTTATGTCACCCGTGCTAATGAGGTGGAGCAGGGTCCCCTGCCTGGTGATGACTGGACTGTGTTCCAGTCAAACCACAGCACCTATGAGCCAGTGCTGTTGGCTAGCACAAAGTCCTCGGAGTCCATTCCTCACCTGGCCACCCACAAAGCATTGCATGCCACGGTGGTGCAGGATCTGGGTCTGCATGATGGGATCCAGCGGGTTCTCTTCGGCAATAACCTCAATTTTTGGCTGCACAAACTCATTTTCGTGGATGCCATTGCCTACTTGACTGGCAAGCGCCTCTGTCTCACACTTGATCGCTATATCCTCGTGGACATTGATGATATATTTGTGGGAAAAGAGGGCACTCGCATGAAAGTGTCTGATGTAGAGGTAAAATCCCCAGATTAACTGCAGGCCCCAGACAAATTTCTAGTGTGTGTGTGGTATGCCAGGAAAGTCAAGGTTATGTTTCATTTGAGTGAAAGAATTGATTGGTGCAATTGTTCTCATCTTAAACAGAGAATTAACCTGCAAAAATGCTGAGGCACCATATGTGATGCTGTCAACAGTTTTGCAGGTTTAAATGGAGCATTTTGCATTCTCAGACCTGTAACTGGCCTCTCTGAATTTTAAGAGGAGGATGTCTATGGTGGTGTGTCCTGTGTCCAAACAAGCATATGCAGATTTCCTCTGTCAACCTATTTGTAGCTGGAAACTGCCTTTCAAAGGGAAAAGGCAAGTTGTGTTAGAATAGAATAGAAAAACTGTATTTATTATATTATTATTTATTATGATATGTATAAACTGTATATATTATATTGCAAAACTGTAGGCCAGTCTGTGCTGTGTAAACTGCTATAGTCTATGTTTTAGCCATCTAGCTTTTCACAACATAGCCAAATTGGGAAGAGAAAGGTTATCTCTCACCCTTAGTTACATCCCCCTCATATCCTCCAGCAGCAGCCCCATCCTGGACAGGGAATATCCAAAAATTCACCAGGGAAATGTGCTCAGACCAAGCCTTCATGAGAATGGTCTCTGTGGCCTCACAATTGGGAGAGATGCCGTCTTTGTGGTTTGCTTTCCTTGGCAGTTCCTTGAGTAATACAGTGACCTGTTAGGAAAGGATATGGGAAAGGCACAGAGAAAGAGATTTTGTGGAGGAGAGGGAAGCAAGACAGGCAAAGGAGAAAACAAGTAGGAAGAAGGTAAGAAACTAAGTGCCCCTTCTAATTCTCTGTGTCCTTAAAAGTATGTGATAAAGTGTTCTCCTAAGTCTGTGATATGTGTACATATGCTGCCTCATGGAGCCAGGGGCTTGCCTTTGTATCTCCCTCGTCAGTTCTGGTTTGTAGCTGTTGAGGCAGTTGCATTGCCTGTTTCTCCAGGTGTGCTGAGGTTGTCCCAGAGGTCTGTGGCCCCAGGCCTGTCACTCTGGATTCCCATTTAGCACTTGCTGTTAGGTGGGTCCTGGATGGAGTTCACTGGGTACCAGCCGTGATGACAGTAAGCCTGTGACAGCAGCTGCCTTAGCATGTTTCCAAAACAGCTTCAAAGTGAAGCACACTTCAACCTTTCATCCAAGGACACAGAACATTTGGGGCAAAGGTATAAAATAAAATACCATTGTACGTGCGCATCCTGTTACCTGAACTGAACCTCATCATTTCCCAAGAGCACTCTTCCACCTCACTAGGTGTCTTACCACCTTTTCTACATGTTTTATGCATCCATGCAAGACATATCTCAGTTCATCTCCATTTTTTCAGGTCTTTGAGATTTTAAGTTCTGCTTCTGATCCCAAGTTTAGCTTGGGGAAGAAGAAACCCTTGCATTCTGTTTAGAGCTAGCTTATCTTTTTAATTCATTTGAAGCTGCGTGTCTGAAGCACCTCTAATGGCGTGTCGTTATTTACTTGCTTTATTCTGTAATAATTCTTTAGAGCCATGTTTGACCATAACTCTCTAATCAAACAGGTATAGAAAAGTGGAACAGTTGTATGTAATACTTATTGAAGAAAAGCGCTAAAATTGTCTTTGTTTCACTGCAGTGTCCCTGTGCCTTGAGGTGCTGAAATGCTCTGAGAGATTTTTTTTTTTTTTTAAGGATCACAATCTTATCCTGGTCCTCAGCAGGCCCTGCACTGTCTAGTCCAAACCGGCAGAGATCCTCACCTGTGTAGTGTTTGTGCAGTTTACAGACCCATGTGAGAAAACAGGAGATACGTGGACAAAGCTCTTGGTAACAAAGGCTGCTCTAGTGATGTTAAAAACAAACCCAGACAAGATAATTCCAAAAGATGCTTTGCTTGGGTTTTAACAGGGTGAAATAGAGGAATAATCTGTGATCAGTAAGCAGAGAATCTCAGGCAAAGCAGATAAAACCCAGATTTATCCATTTAAAAGAAGCTCTCTGATTGCAGAGCCATGAGAGGTTAATGAATTTTTATTTTTTAAAAGCGAGAAATAACTACATGGATTTGTTGACAGCCTCTTGCTGTGGGGAGAGAAGGGGATATAATAGTGACAGAACAGTTGGCATTTTCTTTGGCCTTTTATATGAAAGCTCTGTTTCAGGGCTGTTATCTCAACACACAGCTCCTTATCTTAAAGCTTAGATTACAGTGGTCAGGGTAGCGCTTTGAAGATTGGATGTTGTGTGAAGGTATAAAATTGACTCTGCTGTCCCAGTGAGCCTGTTTGCCGTATGCAGGTCCACGTTCAGAGAGCTTCCCATCCAAAATGGCTATTAAAAGAAAGTGCTGAATCTAATTTGATCAAATGCATGCCCATGGTAGATGTTCTGTGTGAGAGGAGAAATGTTTTTATTTGTGATGCTTAAAGGAGAGCTGAATAGCTTTCTTCTTTAACAAGAAAAAAGGAATCATGCTTGCTTTTACTTCAAAGATGATAACCCTTGAGCTCTTGTTTCTGCTGAAGGGCTGCAGCAGGAGCTTGCAGTCCTCAATTGAAGTGAAACAGTTGGAAATTGCACAAGGAAGACGTTTTTCCTGTGTAAAGTTTACCAGAGTTAAGCTACACATAATTAACAAAACAAAATCTCAGAGAATCCCTTCTCTTCTTAATTATTCCACATTCAGTCTCTTCTAAAATCGTAATCCTCAGAATTTACCAAACCTCTGTGGAATGGCCAACAAAGATGAGCTGTTTCTAATGCAAAAGGATCTGGCTTTTAGGATCGTTCCTGGTTGTCTTTAGCTATGAGGAAAGAAGATTAAGTAGATGAGTTTTTGCCTCTTTTGCTGGTAATCCCTACAAGGGCATAAATAGTGAGCAATCATTGCTACCAAGTCTGAGAGCAAGCTAAGTGAAAATCAAGGACGGTAGTTTCATTTTGGGTTACGAATGCGGAGGGTCGAAGAGACAGAATCTAATGAGGGTGGCTGTCAGCCTTTCTAAATTGTAGAGTATGGACTTACCTGAAATGAAGATACTCAGCAGTTTCTGACTCCCTGATTCTAACATTGTAGGGGACGTGGAAATACCAGTACCATGGATGCTTTCTCTTTTGGCAGCGCTGTTTTGAGCTATGGTGGTGCCACTGCTGGGCAGTGAGAGAACAGCAGAAAACCCTTTTGAGAATGTGCTGCCCAGTGTCCACAGGGGCACCCTCTATGAAGAAGGTGTTTCTGCAACACGTTCCTAGTATGCTTTGCACGAACGTTTGAGAAGAGGCGCTCTGCTTTCTTTGTCCATTTTTTATCATGTTTCTCTTCATTTGTCCATGTACTGTTTTTCTAGCCTCGCAGTATCCTCTCTTCCCAGCATCTGACTCTCAGCCTTATTTCCCCCTTTTCTTTTGCCTCTTTTTAGAGGGACCTGAAATAGGGGAGGTAATATTTAGGTAATTTAGGTAATATTAAAATCTCTGCAAGCAGTTCTGGAAGTTAAAAATTGCATAGCTAGAAAAAGCAGAGTTGCCTGAAGGTTTAGCCTTGTGTTACTGTGATGCCAAAGGCATCATGCCATCTAGAAGAGGATTAGGTCATAAAGAAGCAGCTTAAAAGAGGGTGCAGTCAGAGTGCTGTGGCTTCCCCTGATCTCTTCCTTGGTCCTAGAATTTTATCCCCATTGAGAGAGTTTTTGTCTTTCACTGAAAGGCATCAAGAGCTTGTAGTGACTGTTGAGTAAATCTTTGCAGATCCATCAGTGAGATTATATAGAGTTTTTTCATGTGTTGCAACAAAAGACACAATTTGAAAATTTTTTCACCTAACATTTTCTTAGAGGTAGATATTTATCATCATTTGAGATTATAAAAAAAGCCTTTATTAAAGTGATGGGCATCGAACATGGGACTGAAGCTTAGAACTTTTTTGCATTGTGTCCAGAAAGGTGCATTGGAATGTAGATGTCTGTCATTTGGGCCTGCAGCATGGCTGCCCCAAGTCAGTACTGGAGGCTTCCAAAAATACAAGTTGTGAGTTGCAGAGGGTATTCTCTGATAGACTGTGACAAGTGTGAAGCAGGCCTGGCCTTGATGTGGCTTATGAGTTCTGGTGGCTAGTGCTGGGAATCTCTTGGAGGCCTCATCTGTTCCTTCCTGGGATGAGCCTTGCTGAGCTCTGGCAGGGAGCTTAGCTGGGGAAGGGGCCTTTCTGGCTAGCTAGTGGGCTTGGCTGCGTCTTGGAAGGATTTTTGGAATGGAAGATAGAAAATATAAAACAGAAACAGTTGGAGGGATTAGAGGTGCAGTTCTCTAGGGGTAGGAACTTTGCTTTTAGAGATGGGTGGTAGCTAAAATGCTAAGTCTTCTGTCCCGTACCACATGAGCAACTAGATTTCTTAAATATGCACGTGGACATATGTTTGCATCTGGCTGGCTATTTTATATCTTAATGGATAGCCTGCTCCACAATTCTTGATTGTCTTTCATTTAAGAATCTCAGAGCACATTATGGATGTAAATGAAATGCCACTTGAGTCACCTGTAAGATATTAGTAGTAATATATTTTACTCGGCACCTTAGTGTCTTTCATCCTGTGCAGGTCAAACCTGTGCCATGCCACCTTATGGATATGGCTGTGGAAAGGACCCAGCATCAGCAGAGGGATGGCACACAATTAGCAAGAAACCCACCAGGAAAGCAGGATTCTATGGGGCTCCATAGTCTCAAGAATTTCTGGGGCCCCCACAGTTCTTCCCTGGTCCCTTCCCGGACACAAAGGATTGCTGCCTGCGGGAGCAGGGCTTTTGGGGATTTATCATCAGACAGATGTGTCGTCATGGTAACCCCAGACAGGCTTTAAATCTCCCTCTGTGCAGAGGAATGCTAAGCCTCTTAACCGCTGTCTTTCCTCCCTCCACCTTCCTACCCGGGCTTGAGGAACTGGACGTGCCTTTCAGGGCAGCAGAGAGAAGTGGTGAGGCTTGGGACAGCTCTGAAGACAAGGAAAGAAAGTGGCGCTTTCCTGTCTAAGATGCTGAGCGTTGTGTTCAAGGTGCTGGTCCCAAATTTGATGGAGTATTGTCATCCAGCTGTGTATGTTTCTCTGTAGAGATGCACAGCTCTTAGTCTGTGCTCCCTGATGTGTGGGATGAGTCGTTGTGTGTTACAGGGTTACGTGAGGGGAACTTGACCTCTCATTGCCTATTCTGGATATTGTGCAGCAAAGGAAGCTTCAGCCATCAGTGCTGCTAGCATATCACCTTTTGAAAGCACTGTCTACATTTGTGATAGGTTCTGGAGATGTCATGTGCCATACATTTCTCAGAATACTACTGCTAGGTGGGGACTGGGGTAAGGATGTGGTAGGCATGTGGCCATGGAGGAGCTGAGATTTTTGAAATTTGTCCCAGTCTTCATTTGATGTCACTGTTGTGTGGATGTGAGGAGGAGGAACAGGCAATTAAGTGTATCTTTAGGGAAAAGTCTGAAAGCTTGGTTCCCTCAGAGGGAGCCCTGAGAGTGTCTGCAGCATGGCAGAAATAATCTGTCTGGTCTTCCCACCTTGCCATGTGTGATGCCAGGTCATGGGCTGCCTGCCTTGGGAATAAAACTGCCCAACTTCTTTGGTTCAAGATATGTTTGCAGTGGATGGGTGATGGAATTAAATTACAGAAGTCGTCATTATTGAAATAATGTGATGATCAGTGTTTTGATATGTTAGTGACAGAAGTCATTTGTCAGGGTATCCTAAAGTGGTAGGTGTCAAGCTGGTCCCTCCATGGAATGAGCCTGCGTTTGTGAATGCACTTTCACCACCTAAGGATCAGTGTGCCTTAACAATGCCTATAGAGCGTGAGCCATGTGAAGGCAGTATTGTAGTGCTCTTTTGTTCTCCCTGGGCCTGGGGAAGGGCAGCTCATGCAGAAAGATCTGCCCAGCGCGGTTTGAAAAGTCTGTGTGCTTTCTCCAGTATTATGTGCCAGGTTGCTCGTGTATTTGCATAGAGCCCAAGTCTGCCGTTGAGAGGTCATCACCTTCACCTTGGTGGAGCCACTGATCCATTGTTTTCTTAGAAAAGCTATTGAAATCTGACTAACTACCTGGGCAAGGACCATCGCTGTCACCTGTCAACAGCCCTCCTGCCAGGTCCTTGTTTAATTGAGAACTTTTCCCATTGGGAGCTGCACTAGTGACACTTTCCCCGAAGCATGCAGGTAGCAGCAGAGCGTGCATCTCAGGGCTTCTCTTTATTGTTTTCCAGCAGAAGAAATTTGGCTCGAATTGGTTTGTGTCTTACTTGTCTATGACATACTGAGACTCTGGGGTTTTTGTTTTCTGTCAAGGCTGTCGGCTGTCTTACTCTGTATGCTGCTGGACCCTGGGGTTTGTAGCACAAGGCTCCTTCCCTTTGGCTATAGCAATTACTTTGGACATTTAAAGCAGACACAAGTGAGCAAGAGAGAACCTGTAGGAGATGTGATGACTGTGAATGTCAGCTCCCCCAAGTTCTCTCTCCAGAAAGCAGGAAAATTTCCTGCTATAAAAGGATTTTGGCACTTCCAAAGGACACAAAGCCAGGGATACCTCCCTGCCATGGCAGGACTCCTTGCATGTGTAGTTCTGCAAATACACCTTTCCTCTCTAAATAAAAGCTCCTTCCCTTTGGATCACTTAGTGACTGTTCACGATATTACTGACTTCTCTTCCTTCGACTGTGCACCATGTGCTGCCCCATCCTCCTTTTCATTAACACATAGGCTCAGAGAAAGGGCAGAGGTTCAATAGCAAAGTCCCAGCCAACACAGGAGAGGGAGTGTTGAGGTTGAACCTGGAAAGAGTAAGGGATCTGTTGCTTGGAAGTGAGATTTATTGTCCCTTTGCCTTAGTACAGACACTCTGGGTCCTTCACATTGAAGTGGAGAGCATCGTCTCACTATGGTTTTAAAGTGGCATCATTTAGTACAGCAGGACTACTTCCACTGTATGTGGAGCACTTGGCTACTCTGCTTCATTCTACAGGCAACAATGCCTTAGCCCCACTCCCTGTGATACCTCTTCAAACTGAGCTGGGCACCAGTAGAGCACAGAGAAACATTATGGGACTGCTGATTGTGAACATTTCTTTTTCATTTTATTCAAACAGGCTTTACTGAGCACCCAGAATAAGCTGAGAACTTTAGTCCCAAATTTCACCTTCAACCTGGGCTTCTCAGGGAAATTCTACCACACAGGTAAGTCCCTGCCACCCCTTTGTCCCAGTGCCTGTGTGCAGCCGCCACATCCGTAGGTGTGCGGGAGTGTAACACATTAGAGAGAGCATGATTCTCTGTTGGAATGACTCGGCTGCTTTGAAATATTGAGCCCCTCTTTTGCCGTTTTTGCACTTCCTTTTCTGCTTTCTGTAGGTACAGATGAGGAAGATGAAGGGGATGACATGCTGCTCAAACACAGGAAGGAGTTCTGGTGGTTCCCTCACATGTGGAGTCACATGCAGCCTCATCTTTTCCACAATGTCACTGTTCTGGCTGAGCAGATGAAGCTCAACAAACAGTTTGCTGTGGTAAGGGGCATTGCAGTTTATTTACATTACAGTACTAATCCTTAAACATTCTTCTCCTGGAATAGCTGTTCA